GTCCCACATTGGGCTCCCTGCTCAGCTGGGAATCTGCTGCTCCCTCTGACCACCTCCACCCCCCTCCCCCCAACTGCCAACCCATGTGCTCTCTCTCTCATTCTCTCTCTCCCTCTCTCAAATAAATAAAATCTTAAAATACATGAATAAGTTAAATAAATAAAAATTGTGTAGAAAGAAAAAAACTGAGTCCTTCACTTACTACCCTTCTCAGTCCCACTCTTCTCAGAGGTAACCATGTTAACAGATGAGTATGGATCCTTCCATACTGTTTTGGGTTTTTTTTGTTGTTGTTGTTGTTTTGTTTTGTTTTTTTTTTTAGAGATTTTACTTATTTATTTGACAGAGATCACAAGTAGGCAGAGAGGCAGGCAGAAAGAGGGGGAAAGCAGGCTCCCTGCTGAGCAGAGAGCCCCATGCGGGGCTCCATCCCAGGACCCTGGGATCATGACCTGAGCTGAAGGCAGAGGCTTTAACCCACTGAGCCACCCAGGCGTCCCTCCATACTGTTTTCTATGCAGAATTTTGTTTTACAGAAATAGGAGCTAACAGGAGCTAACCATGTGTTTTGTTCTACAATTTTTTTTTTTAAGATTTATTTATTTATTTGAGAGGGAGAGAATCTCAAGCAGGCTCCACACTGAGTTGGTAGCCCAACATAGGGCTCGATCCCACCACCCCAAGATCACCAACCCAGCCAAAATCAAGAGTCAGGCACTTAACCAACTGAGCCATCCAGGTGCTGGCCTCTCTACATCTTTTTTTAAAAATAGGTCTTAGAGATTTTTCCATATAATATATATATTTCCCTTTGAGAATTAATACTAAGTAAGTAAGAAGTTAGGGACGCCTGGGTGGCTCAGTCTGTTAAGCATTGGTCTTCAGCTCAGATCATGATCCCAAGGTCCTGGGATGGAGTCCCACATCGGGCTCCTTGCTCAGCAGGGAGCCTCCTTCTCTCTCTACCTGCTGCTCCCCCTGCTTGTGCTCTGTCTCTCTGACAAATAAATGAAATCTTAAAAAAAAAAAAAAAAAGGTAAGAAGTTAGAAATCTTATTATAAAGAATATTCTTTTAAATTAGATAAATTTAGGGTCATCTGGGTGTCCAACTCTTGATCTCAACTTAGGTGTTGATCTCAGTGTCCTGGGTTCAAAGCCCTGTGTTGGCTCCATGCTGGATGTGGAGCCTACTTAAAATTTTTTTTTCTTGAATAAATTTAGCTTTTTATGAAAAATTTGCTATATTGTCTCTATTTTTTTTTATCATTTCATCAGAAATCACTGAAAACTTCAGAAAATAGCCTGTGTATTTCTGGATTCTTAGGACTTACTGGCCTGAGGAATATAAAATACCTAGTAGAATCAGAGTAATTTCTTACATTCCTCTGTCTTAATCAAGTTTACTTTGGGACTTTTCTGAGGTCTTGCTTCTCTCTCATTCCCCTGTGTACTTCCTCTTTACACTTGTTTTTTCTGTTTTTTCTCTACTTCTTATCAAGCTTGCTTTTTAGGAATATATTAGTTAAAATTAATATTGAGATATATTTTAGTATGTTAAGTTGATCTTTTCTGTTAATCAGGGCCACTAACTAACAATACTTATTTTTTTAACACTATGCTAAACACATCTTTTCCTTAATCTTCACTGCTACTCTATGAGGTAGGTATTTTTTCCGTTTTATAAAGTTGGAAGGCAAGGCTCTGAAATTTCTTGATGTCATTAATAATGATTAGTAGCTTAATATTCATTGAACTCTTGCCAAATACTTAAGTTATTTCTATTACTTAACTCTCACAACAGCCTTCTGAAGTAAGTGCTCATAAGGCTATTATCCCATTTTACAGATGTAATGAATGCACAAAGAGATTTAGTAACTTGCCCAAAGCTTCACAGCTAGTAAGCAGAACTGTAAAATAAATCCAGGGAACTGGACTTCACAGTCTTTGTTCCTCTGCACTGGCTCCTGTATGATTTTTCTGTTTTTTTGTCTTTACTGTCTTTCCTAGCTTTACTAGAATTGCAGATTGTTACTAGAATCAACCTTGGAGAAAGAAAAGATTAATTTGAACAAAGTATAACCCAAGCAAAGCTTAGGTTTTAGACAGAGGTTTTGTATGTGCTGATCATGCTCACTCCTTTGAATCTCATAGTTCCCTTCCCCTCAGAGTCAGAATGGTGAAATATATTCAGGTTCGGATGATTAGACTCTCAAAGTCTCAACCTCTCTCTGTCTCTTCCTCCACCACCAGCTTTCCAAGCCTCTTGAAAGGTAAAGAAGTTCAGTTTATTTTCATCAAATGTTTATTGCTTGAAAATTTACCCTTATGGGGCATCTGGGTGGCTCAGTTGGTTAGGCATCTGAGTCTTGATTTTGGCTCCGGTTGTGATTTCAGGGTCCTGGGATCAAGTCCCATGTCCACCTCTGCACTCAGCGCAGAGTCTGCTTAGGATTCTCTCTCCCTTTCCCTCTGCCCATCCAAACCCTGCCCCCCCCCAAAATAAATAAATATTTTAAAAAAGAAAGAAAGAAAAAACTTATCTCTGTATCATCCTCTGGAGACTCCTGTGTGTTTAGAAGGTACACCCTCTTTCTTTGCCTCTAATACTGAGGGCTGCAGCTGTTAGGCCCATTTAATGTGGAGGGTTATCTAATCCCTAGACACCAGGAAGACAGCTGCAAATTGAGAGTAGGTGAGGCCTACAGATTTTTCAATTTGATACATTCTCAGACTTGGAGAGGTAGCAGGAGCAAAGTGAAAGAATTGGTGCTGAATGTGGTCTGTTGGATGTCTGTCTGCTGGCAAATGGACCCTGGTTAGAGTTTCAGAAATGTCAAGAGGATTACTAGATTGTATGAAGGATATGGAACCAGAAGGAACCCCTCTGCTCTTAGGGAGGGTGACTCATCCCACACCCCTAGAGTAAATCTTTCATTTTGAAAGCTAGAAAAAAGGTGGGAGCCGGGGGAAAGGCCAATACCAGGATACTGGGGATCTAGGGCACACGGTGCATTTGGGGGATGCCTGGGTAGCTCAGTTAAGCATCTCACTCTTGATTTCAGCTCAGGTTATGACCTCAGGGTTGGGAGCTGGAGCCCTCCTCAGGCTCCATGCTGGGCTTAGAGCCTGCTTAAGATTCTCTCTCCTTCCTCCTCTGCCCCTCTCCCTCCTGAAAAAGGAAACAAGAAGTCTCAAAAGTTGATCGGTTTGCTGTTTTTTGAAGACCTGGGGTGAGCATCTGGCTCTTGGTTTTGGCTCAGTTCATGATCTCATGGGTCATGGGATCGACCCCTGTGTCCTGCTCCAGGTTCACTCCCCTCCTCCCACTTGTGTTCTTTCTCTCTCAAATAAATAAATCTTAAAAAAAAAGAAGAAGAAGAAGACCTGGTGGGGAATTAATGGGAAATAAATGTATTTCACACAGTTTTCAGTCTCTCCATATCAATTCCCTTGGCAAATGAGAATTATGTTGTATGGCAAACTCCACTTCAGATGCAATTGTTTTGTTTTTTAAGATTTTATTTATTTATTTGAGAGAGAGAGAATCTGAGCAGGGAGCCTGCCACAGGGTCTGATCTCAGCACTCTGGTATTGTGACCTGAGCCGAAGATAGATCTTTAACGAAGATAGATCTTTAACCGACTGAGACACCCAGGCTCCCCTAGGTGCAATTCTTATTTTATTGCTCCCCATTATTACCACTGAGTGTCAGCTGCCTGGGACCCTCTCAGTGGGATAACCTTTTAATGGTGGATGATTTTAATTGTTAAGTCCTCATAAGAGCAAAGAAATGAAGAAATTTTATCTTTTTTCTAAAATTGATTGCAGCTGCAATGTCCTTGTGTTTAATTTTACCCACTTTTTTCTTGCAGGACTGTTGAAGCCTGAAGTCCCCTTCCCTTTCCCCCTCCCCCCTTTGCCGCTTTGTGGCATCCCCCTCCCTCCACCCTTTCCCATTCTCATAATCTAGCCATGACTAGCAGAAGCACAGCCAGGCCCAATGGGCAGCCCCAGGCCAGCAAAATATGCCAGTTCAAATTGGTCCTGCTGGGTGAATCTGCAGTGGGGAAGTCTAGCCTGGTATTACGTTTTGTCAAAGGGCAGTTCCATGAGTACCAAGAGAGCACCATTGGAGGTGAGTACCTCAGGGAAAGAAGAGGGTCAATGTTGAAGGGAGATGTAGGGACCTGACTATGGAGCTGGCCTTTTTAGCTGCTTGGAATGGAAATCCTTTATAAAACAGAAAAAAAAACCTGCCATGATGCCAAAAAGAAGGTATATGTTTGCCCCTTGCTTCCTAGAAAAAAAAAATGAGAAAGGTTGATTGCACACCTAGAAAATCACTCATTTTTTAAAATCTCAGTTTGTCATCTTCCCACGTTTTTCTTAAGTCATTTGAAGTTCATTTGAGTGTCACCTTGAGCAGGGTTGGTTTGGAACAGTGATTCGTAATAACAAATGTGTACCAGAATCACTTGGAGAACATTTTCATCCTGACATGCTTGGGCCCTACTCTAGATCTACTGATTAGTATTGGAAATAGAGTGAGGTTGGTGGAGGTATAGACATGTGTGTTGGGAAAAGCTCCTTAGATGATTCTGATAAACATACCTGGTAAAAGAGAGGCTGGAACTAAGTACAAAAGATAAAAAGGCATCTGCCTTTCCCATCTTTACTGCCTTCTACCTTCTCCTACCCCCAAAATAGGGCCCTAGTTCAGTAAAAGATCTTTTATGAGAACTCCCATGTTAACTCCTTCCCCGCCTTTACTAGTCACCTTGGAAATGTGGTGTTCTTGGACCAGCAGAAGATTATATAAAAAAGTAACAGCCAAATAATATTGATAACTATGGGATCTGCCATCAGGCTGTAAAGTCTTCTAACTAATTATTAATGTGAACTTTACCTGAAGCCTATTTTCTGTCATCATCTCTTATTCCTCTGTTTTGGTTAGAAGCGAGATGACTGGTATTAAGTGTCAGTTCTTCTCTCTAATCTTCATAGTTTGTGTGCCCTCATTCCTTAGGCAGAGAAACTTCTGGCAGGAAGGTCTTAGCCGAAGGCAGTCTTAATCCTGGTTCTAGGACCTGTACACAAGGAGGGGAATGTAAAACCTTTTCCGTAGCTCAATGACCTGGGTGGTGACTGGTCTTAGAGAATGGAGATACTGTGAAGGGGGCTGGGATTTGCCCATTGATCCTCCAACTTACAACTTCTTCCCCTCCATTCTCTCATCCGTAGCGGCCTTCCTCACCCAGTCTGTTTGTCTAGATGACACAACAGTCAAGTTTGAGATCTGGGACACAGCTGGGCAGGAACGATACCATAGCTTGGCCCCCATGTACTACAGAGGTGCCCAAGCTGCCATTGTGGTTTATGACATTACTAATCAGGTAAGTGGGCTGAAAAGATTCTCCTGCTTTTATTTATAGGAATTAAATTAGGTGGGGAAGAGAAAACCAGGTCTTAGCAAAATAAAAATATAAATTATACTTCCAAGTGCTGGTGAGACTGAGGTAATGGAAGTATCAGACACAAGTGGTTTCAGTGAGGGAAGGCTGTCTAGGAGAGGTGAGTTTTGAGACTGGGTTTTGAAGATGATGGGCCTGGATTGGCAGTCTTTCCAGCCAACCCTTCTCTTCCTCATGTTTTTCTAGGAAACCTTCGCCCGAGCAAAGACATGGGTAAAGGAACTACAGCGACAGGCCAGTCCTAGCATCGTTATTGCCCTGGCGGGGAACAAAGCTGACCTGGCCAATAAGCGCATGGTGGAGTATGAAGTAAGATGGCCTGGAGAATCCCTCTGTAACACGCTCCCTCTGTGCTTGGGACCTTTTTTCCATAAACCTGCCCTCTCTGAAAACCTCACCTGAGGACATTTATCATCTCATTTCCCAGTTCCACACCAAGTTAAATACAGCAACACTGTGACCCTAATGACAGCCAGGAGATTTTAGAGGAGACAGAAGAAAATTCCAGAGCAGAGGGGTAGGGAAGTGCCAGGTATGGGATACCAATGTGAAAACGGGAAAGAGGGAACAGTTGAATTTTAGGAAAGGGACTATTCAAGTGTCACAGCTTAAAAGCCCCCAACCAACTTACATTCTCCCTCATAATTAAGATTCCTGGCACCTGCTGGTTGGATTAAGCTGTCTAGACCACCAGTTATCCTTAAGGGAGTTGTCACCAAAATATGGGTCCAGGGCCAGCTGCCCCAACCTAGGATATTGCCTAGCTCTGGTGCTACATGGGAGTGGAAAGGCAATACTTCTTCCTACCCTACATTCTGAGTACCGGTACACCCACCCCTTGCAGGAGGCCCAGGCGTATGCAGATGACAACAGCTTATTGTTTATGGAGACTTCAGCCAAGACAGCTATGAACGTGAATGATCTCTTCCTGGCAATAGGTAAGGTCAGAGCAGCCTGGGGTCTTCGTCTTTCTCCCTTGCCTCTAGACAAGATCACTAACCCAAGTCATAAAGGTGGAGGGGAGTATCTCCTCTTGTGAAAACTTTAGGTATAGAAATATCTTAACTTTCCATTATGACCTCAACCCTTTGGCTGCAGTTTTAGGCCCCCCCCACCCCCCATCTTCAACATAGTTTACAGGTGAACCTTACCCTCTTCAAAACATTCTTTTAATCTTCCATATTTCCCCCTTCCCCATCTCTCCCCCACCCATAGTCCTTTGGAGGGATGACTAAAATCTACCATACTTTTTTCCTTCTCTTTTTATCTCTAGCTAAGAAGTTGCCAAAGAGTGAACCCCAGAATCTGGGGGGTGCAGCAGGCCGAAGCCGGGGTGTGGATCTCCATGAACAGTCCCAGCAGAACAAGAGCCAGTGTTGTAGCAACTGAGGGGGTGGCTAGCAGCAAACAAGTATGGAGCTAGCACGAGAGCTAAGAAATAACCTCCATCCCCACCCCTCAGCACACAGCCCCTACGGTAACAGCACACTGAGCCCTGGCTCCCAAGGGCTGCCTCCTGACAGCTCCGTCATGGCACTTTTTAACGCTTCAGCAACCAACACCAGGCAGCTGTTGCCACTGGCCGCCTACCCCTGCTCTGGGGCTTAGGGGTCAGAGCCCCCAGGACTTACCTTCCAAAACCAACTTTCTTCACTTTGTATTATAGGTGCAAGACAGTGACCTACTTATCTTTCCTCCTCCTCCTCCTCCTCCTCCTCATTTTTTCAGAAAACATTTTTTTGTCTTCTGCCCTTTCCCTTCTGCTTTTGGTCAATCCCTGTTCTTGATCCCCTTTTCCTCCTCTCCCCAGGATGGAGAAGGTGATGAACCCAGGAACTGAGGAAGGAGATTTCCAGTTCAGACACATTAAGGGCCCTGGGGGGAGAGTAAGGCTCAGAGCAGGAGGGAGTAAGGAAACAGTTCCTTTTTGGGAGAGGGGGGTTGGAGATTCTCATATGAAACACTGCAGTCTCCACAAGTTGGCCTTGTGGAGGGTGTTTCTAGGTAGAGGTGAGAAATGGAAGGCAAGCTCTTGGGTACCAGATAGGAGTTGTGTTAGTTAACTGGGCAGAGGTGGAGGAGGTGGAGATGTAGTGTCACCTGTGGCTCTGGAACTGTTCCTAGGCCTAACTACCCCCCTCACCCAGCCTCTTAGGTAGCTCCTCCCCCATAGTGGGGGAGACTCTGGACCCCAGAGTCCTCCAAAGAATCTTCACTGGTTGCCTGCATCTTTGGCTCTGCTGTGATCTAATTAGAGGAGGGACCAGTTTCTGATACCCATCCTCTGATTTATACATATGCATTTTTTCCCCCCTCTGGCCCTTAGATGGCCTCAGCCCCAGCCACTATATTCCCCTGCAGTTTGCACTTTAATTGGTGGTAGTTCAGTTGGGATACTTGTTTTATGGGGGTTTTGATTGATTTACCTGCCCTCTCACCTTTTAATTAAATGGAACCCAAGGTAGTATATATATGAGGTTTTGGGAGGGGCTGTAGAGAACAGGACCAGTGGCAGCTACTCAAGCCCAGTCTCCACTGCTTGCTTCCTCCAACTCTGATTCTTAACCTATATTCTTGCCAACCTAACTCTCGAGTATAGGTTTGCTTTTCCTGGGGAATTAACTGAGCAACTGGAGAGCGGTCTCAGGATAGCCTAGGCCATGGTATGGGAATAAAGAGGGGTCAGGCAAGAGGGAGGAGTTTTCTGTCCTTTCCCAAGGTTCATGTTCAGTGATCCACCCATTACCATGTCTTTTCTACTTCCCTGTAAATAGATATGATCTTTATTCCCACTGTACAGTCTGTTCTGTCCTCCACCTCCTATCAGGCCCCATATCTTTTTCCCTTTGTTAGTATGTTTGGTTTAGTCCCTCCATCCTTATCCTTATACCCACCCCCAGCCAGTGGTTTAATCCACATACCACTAGGGGCTAATACCACAGAGGCCTACTTGTGGCCCCCTCATACTGTAATACCTGTTCCTGTGGATAGGGAACAACTGGCACTGAAGGTCCGTCACAGCTGTCTCACATCACCAGGGGACGTGGGTCCTTTCTAAATCTCTAGCCACTCCTCACATCCCTCATCAGGTATTTTAGGATGTCTTTGGGAAGTCATCAAGGCAAGAGAGAACTCTAAACTCCTTGTTCCAGCCCAGAGTTTTGGGAAAATTGGGGAAAGTAAGATAGGAAAGGTCACAGTGACCTAGGATTGGAACCTTTCTACCCTTTGATTTGCAGACTGCGTTCTGTCCCAGAGCAGCTGAAAAATCCTTGGAGCTGAGACTCTGAAGGACCCAGCTTAGGTTCTTCCACTTAGGACTCATTTCCCTTCCTTTTCCAGGGGCAGCCTTAGTTCCCGTGGCCCTGAAACACATTTTCCCTTTCCTTTCCCAGCACCTACCAGCCTCCCAAAGCACCCAGTGCATCTTTGTAAGTGGAAGAACTAGGATAGCTCTCTTAAATTCCTTAGAAATGAAGTTTTTTTGTTTTTTGTTTTTGTTTTTGTTTTTTTTCTCTCTGCATCTTTCCCCATGGAACAGGAGTGAAGTGTTTCATTGCCTTGGCGCTGGGAAACCATTTCTCCAGGCTTCTTCTCCCCTCCCCATCCCCCTATGGAACAGGATTGGCCTTAGCTTCTGGGCCTATCTGCTGCCTTCCTTCTATTTCCTACTAGCTCCTCTGCTTTCCTTTGAGCTCTCTTGGGCTTGGGGATCTTAGTTTTTATTTCCCAGCTCTTCATTTTTTTTTCTTCTGATCAGTTTTTTTGGGGGGTGGGGTATCCTTTTCTTTTCTTCTAAGAAAGCATTTGCCTTTTTCCCCTTTTCTTCCTCTCCCAACATAACAATCGTGGTAACAGAATGCGACTGCTGATTTACCGATGTATTTAATGTAAGTAAAAAAGGAAAAAAAAAAAAAAGAAAAGAAAAGTGTATTGGAGTGTTGCTTATTTTTTTCTTTTTTTCCCTTTGCTATCCTTTTTCTTTTTCTTTTTTTTTTTTTTTTGCTATTTGTCTGATACAAGAAATTTGGAAGAAAGGGCATCCAGTGTTTTTGTTTGTTTGTTTGTTTTTAAAGATTTTATTTATTTATTTGACAGAGATCACAAGTAGGTAGAGAGGCAGGCAGAGAGAGAGGGGGAAGCAGGCTCCCTGCTGAGCAGAGAGCCTGCCATGGGGCTCGATCCCAGGACCCTCGGATCATGACCCGAGCAGAAGGCAGAGGCTTTAACCCCCTGGGCCACCCAGGTGCCCCGGCATCCAGTGTTTTATCGAATCAGAAACGCACCCTCTTTTACATCTTGGTTATCTCCTTATTCCCTTTAATCTTTTCTTGAATAAGGACATAGCCCAATTTGGAAAATATTCCCTTTATTGCTGTGAAACTCTATTCCCAGGTCACTAGAGACCTTATCAAATCAGACCTAGCTTATTCTTATAGGCTTCTTAATATTGGTGGGGGAGGGAGAGATCTCTGGGCAGACAACTGATGAGACTGGAGGGAGAGGTCATATTTGTGAATCCTTTTGAAGAAGCAAAAGTTTATGTGCATTTCTACATGGAAAGGGTGCATTGCCTTATTGGTATCACAGAGGGGTCCATGACCTAAAGAAGGTTAAAGAAATCATTAAATTTGTGTTTGTGATTGATCATGTGGCTTCTACCCCAACAGGAAAATTTCTCCTAGATCTGATCTTGTTTGCTACAGTACTTGAAGCCCTTCAGTCCATCACAGTCTAAGTGGGGGAGAAAGATTGGGTATGGTTGCAGGACAGGAAACAGGACTGGTGTCAAACAAAGCTGGCAGTGCAGTCCCATCTGACAACTTACCAGCTGTGGCCTTGATCAAGTTTCTTAGCTGCTCTCTGCCTCAGTTTCTTCTTCTGTAAAATGAAGAAAATTTGAGGTTTAAAGGTCAATTATGTTAAAGTATGTGTAGGGCACACAAGGTGACACTGTTATTAGGGAGAAGTCTTATCCTGTGGCTTCAGACGGTCCCTAACTGATTTCTCTGTATCCTTGGGCTGAGCCTATTTTTCAAGGCTGGTAGGATAAGTTGGGCATCACACCTCTCCAAAGACTTAATTGAACACAGCTGAGTTAGAAATCTATTTCCAAAAACCTCTAGGCCAGAATCACCTTTTCTCTGTCGAGTCCCCTTTTCCTCTGTCTCCTAGTACTCCCTCCAAGGTTCCTTGATTCCTGGCAAAAGCTCTAGTTCGCTTTAGGAGAGCAGAAAGGGAGAGGAAATGATCTTCCAAAATTAAAGATGAAACCTTCACTTAAAGTAAGGTTGTAGGTCAACCTTCTGAACTCTAGGGGGCAGTGTGGGTACGTTTGCCCCAGGTTCACAGCCAGCCAAATAACAAAATAAATTTTCAGCCCTGCACCAAACGATAAAGGGTAATTGCAAACGTCTTCTTAGTGCTCTCTACTCTGAGATTATGAGCGATTATAATCTTCCTACTTTGGAGTGTTAAAAAGTTACTGCTCTCGTTATGACCAATGATTTTTTAATTGAGTTAACCAAGGAAAAAATTGCTATTTATATTGTTGGTTCCAGAATTGGGGACGAAAAATCAACAAGTCCAAGGGATCTCAAAGTCTTTGAACCACTGTTTAGGCCTCATTTCTGCTTTTATTGTTGGATATAAGAGAATTGACTGCTTGACCTTGTTTTCACTAAAAGACAAGGCTGTTGTAGTTGCAACACAGAGGTTTGTCAAAAACAGGGTAGAGGCGGAGCTCACAGCCGGGAGAAAGGCGGCTGGATTTCAAGGCCTCTTCAGTAAACGCACCTTGTGTCTCAGCTGTTAGGGGCAGGGTGGGGGCATCTCAAAACTTCCCACCTTAAGCCCAGCCTTTGGAATCCTCGACACCTTCCATTGCCCGGTTCCAGACAACAGCGAGGGTCCCATTCCATGTCTAGCGGGGATGGAAACAGAAAACAGCCAGTCTTAGCCGGGAGCCTTCGTGGCGCCTCGCCTGCCTCAGCCTCCAGGAGGCGGGCACAACAGCTGGGAGGCGGCCCGCGGCCAGCCAATGGCTAGGGGACGAGCTGAGAGGCGAAAGTGGTCCTTCACTCCGGGCCAACGTCATGGTGCTGGCCCCGCCCCTTTGCCCCCAGTCGTCTGGAGCCAGGCGGGTAAAGCAGCCGCCAAGCGGACCGAGAGGACTCCGAACCCGGTAAGGTGGTTGGGAGCTGAGAGAGGGAGGAGGTGGAGGAAGGCCTGGAACGCAGGCGATGGCCGGGGTGCTGGGACCCGGGAATGCTCCAAGGACCGTGGGTTTGAACAAAAACTGCCGATACAGCCTCCGCTCCCGCTGTCCAGCTGCTCCTAGGGGCGCGGTTGTTGCTACGAGACACTTGTGCCAGCAGCTGGGCAGTGGCATGGAACTGGGTGCTTGTGCTTTAGAGCTGGATATATCTTACTCTACCTAAAGTGCCCCTGGGGAGTGAGGGGCCACCACCCGGACAAGGGGTGTGGCATCTGTTTTAGAGCAGAAGGTTGCTTCTCCCAAACCTGGGACACTGAGCTGACCGAGTTCACCTGTAAGACAGCCCTACTTGCACCACTCCAGCCTGGTTATTCTAAGTGGGCTGCTGGCATCGAGGGCAGGTGGGAGGGAAAGGGAGGATCCCATGGCCCCGGGGTAAAATGCAGACTCTGTTCCTGCTCCTGTCACCCTTGCAGTTTCCCTGTCTGCCCCCTTCTTTAGCATTTCGCCAGCAATTGGGGCTTCTCTCACTCTTCCCTATTTTGGCATTCCTGGAGTCTGCGATCTATTCAGTGCTCTGAGGAAGGAACTGCTACAGGGCAGAGTGGAAAAATTACTTCTCTAGCCCATCCCCTGACACCCTGGCCCTTAACTTCCCAGTTTGCTGAGTTCACAGGCATGACCTAGACAGGGCAAGGGTGGGGACCCTGGGCTGGGGTTCAGTTCCCAGCTGGATTCTATTTTCTTTTTCCCTAAGGTTGGTAGAGGAAAGGAGGGGACTGAAAGGTCTTCAAAGACAACGTTATTACCTGTTTGCTCCTCACAGCTACTCTGCTAGATACCTCTCATTCCACAGACAAAGACAACAGTTTTGAGAGGCTTGGTATCTTGCCCAGGCAATGGGGCTGGTTAACAGCAGGTCTGGTTTCACAAACAGTTCCACTCCAGAATCTGAGCTCGTTCATCTCATTAGGCTACCACTACCTTTTTCACCTTTTTGTCCCTATCTAAGTTAATCTGCCCCTCAGTTGTCCTCTGCTGACTTTGGAAATAATAAACCAGCAAACTGGACTGTAGATATTTTGGCTTCTGTCCTTTAGGCCCTTGGCCCGGATCACTGTTCCCTGTAGTGGACAAAGTAGAGAATGGAGGATGGGAGATAGGAGATAAGTGATTCTAGAAGACCAGCCCCCCTCTCTCTGGCCCCTTCCCTTCCAGCCTGTCTCCACAGTCTCTCTGAAGTCCTTTAGGTTTTCTCTAAGGGCCAATTTGGACACACACACACACACACACACACACACTTCCATCCTTTGGCTTCATTACCATGATAAAGTATCCTTATTTGCCCAGGGAGTTCCTTGCTTACCTTCTGTCTTCCTTCCACCCATTTCCTCAAGTTGCCCTAATATCATCCCCTTCTTGATCCTGGAATCTTTTTCCCACAGGTCTGCCACAATGCTGCTGCACAGGGCTGTGATCCCATGTCTCCGACAGGCCTGCAGGTAGGCCAACCGATCCTAGAACTTGCCTCCTGGCCCTTATCTGTCACTACCAGTATCTTTATGATGTTTAATCTACCAGATAAGGTGGTAGGGAAAGCCATAACTCACGCATGTGCCCCACCCATCCGTAGATGAACAATAGTCCCAACTGAAGGAACCAATGGCCAACCTGATAAACCCCAGGTTTTCACTTTCTCTCCTATATGATCTGAACTGTGCTACTAAGAAGACCTCTCTCTTTTCCAGGCTCCAATCAGTCCCCTCAAGGCTCTGCATTCGGGCCTGCTCTACAAATGATTCACTTCAGCCCCAGTGCCCCAGCCTTGACTTCTCTGGTGCTAACTCCAGCACTAGGGGATGGAGAGTCATGGGGACTCTGCTAGGCCTCGGTGCAGTGTTGGCCTATCATGACCACCGGTGCAGGGTAAGTGGGGAAGGGAGGGACTTCACTGTCAAAGCAGAGGGGCCCTAGTAAGCTCCACAGACAACCCAGTCTATTAACACAGAGCCCATGGTGATACTGTCTTCCTGAAGACTAAAGATGGAGTCTGCTACCTCTGTTTCACAGTGGCCATGACTTTATGGGTTGGGTCAAGGTGAGCCAGAGTGATTCCTTCTTACTATTTATGTTTCTTTGTGGCTTACCCCTGCCCTGCCTGCAGGCTGCTGAGAAGTCACCACGCATATATACCAGAGAGGAAGTAAAATCTCACAGCAGCCTTGAGACTAGGATCTGGGTAACTCTGGGCTGTGAGGTGTTTGATGTTACAGAATTTGTGGATCTACACCCAGGGGGGCCATCAAAGCTGATGCTAGCAGCAGGTGGTCCTTTAGAGCCTTTCTGGGCCCTCTATGCTGTTCATGACCAGGCCCACGTGCGTGAGATACTGGCTCAGTACAAAGTTGGGGAGCTGAGCCCTGAAGACAAAGCACCCTCCACCTTGAAGACCTCTGACCCTTACGCTGATGATCCTGTACGTCACCCAGCCCTGAAGGTCAATAGCCAACGCCCCTTTAATGCAGAGCCCCCCCCTGAACTGCTGACAGAAAACTATATCACACCTAACCCTATCTTCTTCACCCGGAACCATCTGCCTGTACCTAACCTGGAACCAGAAACCTATCGCCTGCATGTAGTAGGGCCACCTGGGTGTCAGTCGCTGTCCCTATCCCTGGATGACTTGTACCAGTTCCCCAAGCACGAGGTCACAGTCACTCTTCAGTGCGCTGGAAACCGACGCTCTGAGATGACTCAGTTCAAAGAAGTAAAAGGTCTGGAGTGGAATGCAGGGGCCATTAGCACTGCACGCTGGGCTGGGGCACGCCTCTGTGATGTGTTAGCCAAGGCTGGTCACCAACTCCATGAAACTGAGGCCCACGTCTGCTTTGAGGGACTGGACTCAGACCCCACAGGGACTGCGTACGGAGCATCCATCCCTCTGGCTCGGGCCATGGACCCTGAAGCTGAGGTCCTGCTGGCATATGAGATGAATGGGCAACCCCTGCCTCGTGACCATGGCTTCCCTGTGCGGGTGGTGGTTCCTGGTGTGGTGGGTGCCCGCCATGTCAAATGGCTGGGCAAAGTGAGCGTGGAACGAGAGGAAAGTTACAGTCACTGGCAGCGGCGGGATTACAAAGGCTTCTCTCCGTCTGTGGACTGGGACACAGTAGATTTTGACTCAGCTCCATCTATTCAGGAACTTCCTGTCCAGTCAGCCATCACAGAGCCCAAGGATGGGGAGACCGTGCAATCAGGGGAGGTGACTATCAAGGGCTATGCATGGAGTGGTGGTGGGAGGGCTATAGTCAGGGTGGATGTGTCTCTGGATGGGGGCCTAACCTGGCAAGTGGCTGAGCTGGATGGAGAGGAACAGCGTCCCCGGAAGGCCTGGGCCTGGAGGTTATGGCAGCTGCAAGCGCCTGTGCCAGCTGGGAAAAAGGAATTGAACATTGTTTGTAAGGCTGTAGATGATAGCTACAATGTGCAACCAGACTCGGTGGCCCCAATCTGGAACCTGCGAGGTGTGCTCAGTAATGCCTGGCACCATGTCCACGTCCGTGTCTCCCCATGAAAAGGTGAAGTGGAATTACCTACTCCCAGAATCATTTTCTCAACCCCTTCCGTAACCATCCTTTTCCCTCATTACCACAGAAAAACCTTTCCTTTCATCATCACTTCTTGGATCACCACCTTGTACTATGCCTTCCTAAACCTCACATAGATAACATGCATTGCACATTTCCAAGCAGGCATCAGCTCTCCTTTGACACTATGTTACATAACTCCTGTTGTGCCCCTTGTTGAGAGCTGTTGGGGCTAGAAGGGGGGGGAATTCTGTAAACAAGCACTCTTCCTACCCAACCTCCACTGCTAATGTATACCACCACTTTATTCTACTCCTCTTTTTGGGAGTTTTCAGAGAATGTGGATACATGTGAGAAAAGTGTATATGCAACTTTCTACTTTAAACTTTATACTTTCCACTTTCTGGGTTGCCAGGGAGGCAATCCTGGTGAAATCCTACCCCTTTATAGTTCCACTTTTCTAAATACATCAATAAAGTGTTTTAAGTCCACAACTGAAGAAATGATTATGACTTGGGACTTCTTGAGGCTGGAGCGTCAGCATGTTGCAGGAGGGAGGTGCGCTGGTACTCGGATGTGTAGTGAGATAATCCAAAACAAGGTGGGGAGGAGGAGGGAAGGGAAGCTGGTGCAGGGACGTCAAGAAGTGGGACTTCCTTCTCTGCGGTCAGCCGGCATCTGTAGCGTTGCTTAGGTGACTGACCTCAGAATACCTCCAAGAGAGTTTTTAAAAATTGACATTATTAAGCTCCTCCCCGCCCTTCCCCATTCCTACACTTGGAAGGAAAGACAAAGAATGCTGAGGTTAAAAACAGTATTCTCTTAGTAGGGGCGGCGCAAAATTTGGCACTAGGGGCAGATATGTCAGGGCACGAGGGGGGTGTCCAATGTGCGCCCAATTGGCAAATTAGATGCAGATGAAGGGGCATGACCGCGCCTCTCCGACTTGAATCTTTCGGTGCTCGGCTACTCTCCCCTAGCTCTTCTCCCTTTTCCCCAGCAGTCTCCCCGGCTTAGGGACGCTCGGTGTTCGGCCACGCCGCCTGTCGCCTAGTAGTGGGACCGGAAGTTGTTCGGGGGAGGGGGGACGGCT